GCATGTGTCTGATTCTGAGGCATGGTAGGAGAAATGAAGATACAGGACCCCAGGCACCCCCCAGGCATCTAGCGGGGACGGAGGGAAAGGAGGAGTCAACAGAGGCAGCGACAGCCTCCAACAGCCCAGGCCAGCTGGGATCCTCACGGATGCTGCACACCCAGCCTGAGCCCAGAGCATGTCTCATGACGTTGCTTTGCTGATCCCTCTATTCTGCCTAAGGACAAAGGAGTCTGTAGACTTGTCTCTGCCCAGAGGTGATGGGTTTAGGGGATGATGAGGGTGGAACACTGGCCCACCTCAGGCCTGGTGGTCCTACCCAGACAGAGACCCCCTTCCCCCAAATGAAAATGGATTGTGAAATCATGGGGGCAGGAGGCGGTGTGAAAAGCCTTGGTGTTCCCATACTCTCTAGTCTTTGGAGGGGTGGGTGGGAAGACACAGGAAACAGCAAACAACATTTGGAGAGAGCGGATAATCAGGAACAAGAAGTCCTTCATCTTCCCCCTGGGTTGCGGGCTTCTCTTTGGTAAAATATTAGCAGAGGGCACGGAGGTGGATTTAATCAGCTCCTACTCTATGAGCAAAGGATTAAACCTGCCCATAAATCAGAACTGGTGGAGGGAGCTCGGCTGGAGACTGGGGAGAAGGGACTTTGGCCTCTATTCTTTGCTAGAAGGGAAGCCTAAGGTCTACCACACATTTCCAACTTTTTAACTTTTTTAAGCATGGGCTGGTGTCCCCCCGTTGTTGCACAGGGGTGACGTCTCGTTTCTGCAAGAAGCCTCTGATGCGCTAAAACTTTAGACTTTCCAAAGGGCCTGACACCTTTCCTTCCTCTGTTTAACAGATAGGTACTGAGTGTGTGCTGTATGGCAGATTCTGTTCTAGGCACTGAAATCCCAGCTGCCAGGGACAAACCAAGCCCCTGCTCTCGTGGAGCTTACCTGCTAGTCATGGGAAGCAGAAAATGCACAATTAAGCCAGTGAGTACGTGTCCTGTCTGTGCAAGTTCTACAAAGAAGCATAAAGCCAGGTAAGGGGTAGAGGAGAAGGAGGGCTCAAGGGTGAGTGCTTTCTGGAGGAAGGGCATTCCAGGCACAGGGAATAGTTAGGAACAAAGGCTGGGAGGCAGGAGCCCCATGGCAAGGAAGTCAGTGGGGAGCTGAGCAATGGAGGGGGAGAGATTGTCAGAGAAGGTGTCAGGGGAACAGGGCAGTTAGATCCTGTAAGGTCTTGAGGGCCATGGGAACAATTTTAATTTTAGATGGAAAACTATTGAAAGGCTTTGAACAGACGAGTGACATGTCTTAGATTCAGATTAACTGAGAGTCCACTCTCTGTGCTTCTCAGGTGACAGCCTGGAGAAGGAGGAGTGAGTGGAAGCAGAGGCACCAGGCGAGGCTGCGATGGTGCCGGTGAGACGCTGTCCCATCCCGGGTCAGTTTAAGGGCAGAGCTGCCAGGGTTTGGAGGTGGATGGGAGGGGTTATGAGAGAAAGAGGCATCAGGGACAACTGCAAGGCCCAAGCCCCTGGAGGCACAGAAGGAGCAGGCTTGTGAAGGGACCCCAAGCGTTCAATCTTGCAATCTTGGCCTTCGTAAGTTTGTGATGTCAAAGGTCAGGCTGAGTGGGGAGTTGGACACAAACCTCCAGATTCAAAGAGAGGATGAGCCAAGGGATATGAGTTGGGAATCACCACCATATAGATGGTATCAGAACCACGGGCTGGAAGGGATGACCTAGGATGTTACCTACAACACGGAGTGTGTTTACTGCTGTGTGTCAGGCACTCTGCCGCGTCCCTCACACCTATTAACTCACCGAATCTTTCCGACAACCCTACATGGTAGCTATGATTGTCCCTATTTCAATGATGTGGACACTGAGACACAGAGATTTTTAAATCATTTGTACAAGGTTAGTGGGAGCAAGAAAAGAAGAAGTGTGAAGCATGAAGAGGAGAGGTTGGGAGGTCACAGAGGCAGGGAGGAACCAGCCAGGGGGCCAGAGCAGCAGCAGGTGAGCCGACAGGATCCCAGGCAGGTGTGGTGTCCCAGAAGCCAAGCCAAGTAACTGTTCCAAGAAAGGAGGGCAGACAGACCACGTCACATTACGCTGACAGGAGATGGGCTGGGAGGTGGGAAGTGACCATCCATCGGTCAGAAAAAAGTGACATCTTTATTTTCACTGACCTCATTTTAAATTAACTTCCTTCCACTTTGAACGTAGGCAACAAACCACATTGGTATTCTCGGGACCTTTGACTTTGTCACCAACAGAAACCACAAAGGTTGTCACTGTCATTGCAGCTGTTACAGAGATCATATTGTTTATGCTCATCCACCATGTGTTAATAAAGAAGTACCTAGGCTATGAAATCATGCATTTTACACACTGCGATTATTGTATTTCAATATAATTGTTTTTCCCACGTCATGCTATATATTTTTATTTTATGCATTTAAAATATTATTCTGAGGCATCTGTGGCACAGGAAAAAGTTAACAATCTCAAACTCATCTCAGCACTGATCACGAAGGAGCAACCAAATGCCTACACAGGTAGGGGAATAGCGATTCCTAACCTAGGAGACAAGTGTGGCCCTCAACCCAGTGTTCAACCAGCCGAGGAGCTACAGACCTTTCGTGGTAGCTGCGGTGGGGGTAGGTGAGGCCACATCGCAGTTCGCACTCACGGGGAGCGATGCCACGAAGGAAGCTGACCGTGCTGCCTTCGTGGGGCATCAGACCTGCAGAGCTAGGGTCCCAGCGGCGGGGGAGGGGGTAGGTTGCTGCTTCCTTCTATAGGGTTTTCCGTTAAAGCAACTCGGCTCCCCAAAGGCTGCTTCCCCCTTTTCTCCCCTCCCCTGTGGGCTGCTCTGTGCTGGGCTGAATTGTGGCCACAGCCAGGGTTTGCCTTCATTTCGTAAACAACGAAAGTCCTCTTTATTCTGTATCTTCATGTCCAGCTCTCCTAACATCTCCACTGGGCAAAATGGAGACATTAAAAGCAAAGTCACCACTTCTAAAAATCAGCGACAGACTCCAGCCCAGAAGCCAAAGTCTCATTAGCCTTTTTTTTCTGCAGCATACAATTCCCACATCAGTAAAACCAGGGTCCTACTGAGCTTTCCCTCCTAGGATTGTTAGGAAGATTCAGTAAGTTAGTAGCTGTGAACCACTTAGGACATGCCCCGCATGTGGCATTCATCATATACATTGTTAAATAAAGGCAATTCATTTTGTTTTTTCTCTTTCTTTGCCATTAAATTAAAAACAAAAGGCAAAGCAAAATGCCCCTACAAATTCATAAATTCAGTGTTAATCAACACAGCATTCGAGAACAAGTGACAATCAGGAAGAAAAAAAATGGAGCTATTGTGGAATGCTTACAGTCATTCTTAAGTTTGAAAAGGAAAAGATTAAAAGAGATGTTAAAGATTAAATGATGGCCCAGCTCTCCCCACCCTGCTGAGGTCAGAGAACAAGATCTGGATGTCCCTAACTCCTTATAACACTCCGCCCCCCTAACCCTAACACCCGCTGTGACTCGTGTGAAGGGGAGGGGCTCCTGCCACTGGGCGTCTGGATGTCTGTTGTCTGCGGAGCTCTGGATCTATCTCACAGGGCTGTGTGTTCTGGGTGTGGAATAAATCAGTGCTACGAAAGCTTTCCTCCGCATGCTGCTGTCACCAGCCTGGACCCCCAGTTAAATTTGAGCTCAACAATGCAAAGGTTACGAGACATCCACTGGCTAAAGTTCCACGATGTTTGGAACTACTCTGAATGTGTGAGGCGGAACGTCTCCAGCTGAAAAACACTGTGCATGGGTCTAGTTTATGGGAAAAAATATTAACTGGTGGAAGTCTGTGACGTCGAAATCAAAGAATCAGGCTGCCTGGGTGTGCTGCAGGAGTGAGGGGACCATCTGGTCTACCCTGGTCATTTTATAGAGAAGGAAAGGAAGCAGAAGGCACAGAGAATTTCCACAGCTAAGGGGGAAGGCAGTTCCTCCAGAGGCAGTGTGTCAAAGCACCACCTCCCTGCTGCAAAGTGCCTCCTTGGGACAGTGCTGTCTCGCCTCAGTCTATGTACGGCAGGGAACAAGTCAGGCTGGTTTGAAACTTGCCTGGACGACCTGAGCCACCTGGCTCACCTGCCTGTTGCATGACTTGCAAACAAACCCACTCCATAAATCTCAGCCTCACACTGCTCCAGGCAGCCTCAACACCCCACTTTCTGGGTAAAGGGGGAAGCCGATAATGTAGCGTCCACGGCACCAAGTGTCCATGTCTTTTTCGTAGCCATTATATTCTGTTATCTTTGTTAGCAACCAATGACAGCCTCAAAGACCAGGAAGAGGTCACCTCCAACCTCCCTCCACCACCCTGACTTTGTGCCCCATTCTCCAGGTAAAGACGAGTCCTTGCTGCCTATTCAGACAGCGTGCAATACGTGCACAGGTACCACGCTTAGCCAGCACGGCACTTTGTCTCCCCTTCCTAATCATTTACAAGCACATCCAGTTTCCAGAACCCTGGATGGCTTTTCAGGTTAATGGCTATGGTGACTGCTGAGGTTTTCTCTGACCTGAGAATGCAAAACGAGTCCATCCTCTTTAGTTGCTCCCTTTAAAACCTTCTGGAGACTCACACGGCTACACTGAATTCTATTTTGCACACGGAGGATCCACTGCGTTACTGTTTCCATCATTGTGAGTAGGTGGATGTGGCATAGACAATTTTAGGTTTCCGGGTTCTGGTGCCAGGAAGAATCGAGAGAGTACAAAGGTCAAGTGCCTTCCAAGTGATCAAAATAAACAAGCAGACAACCAGTTCCTAGGCCACACCCACCTCCTACAGGGAATTTCATCTGGTGTTGCCACCATACTCCCAGTCCCCGAACTTGTGAGAAGTGACTGGAAAGTCAGCCCTTGTCGCTGAGGAGATTCCCCTCGTCCCTCTCTCGCACCCAGCACCTAAGCGCGTCTTTGGTCACCTGTGGGTTTCAGCGGGTTCCAGGCCATTTTCTAAGCTGACATCTGTCCGCACCATCTCCTGTTTCAGTTCTCCGATCTCTGAGGCGATTGTGTCAATGAGCTATTCAAAGACAAAAATAGTATGACGTCAGGAAGTGGAGAGGCGTGGCCGCCCACAGTGCCCGGGAGGAATAGGCTCTTCAATAGGAACGGAGAGGACCATCTTTTTTCTTTTTTTTTTTAAATCTTGGCTCTGTGAATTTCCTCTAACCAGAGGAAAAAATAAAGGGGGAGGGGGCAGCTTCTCCTTAGAAAGGGGAAGAACTTAGGTTTCGGTATTATAATAAGGAAAAGACTATGACACCCAGTTTGTTAGGTTTCAGTATTATAGTAAGGAATGTAACATCCAGTTTGCTTTCTCAACATGAATACAGACAGGCATAAATAAGTCCTGGTAAAACCAGGCCTCACGTTCATTTTTTTCCCAAGGGAAACACTCAAAAGGAATTCCCTGGATTAAAATTCATGTAATCATTATTTTGGCTCTAAGAATAAGCTAATTCAAAAGACATAGACGGCTTACAAATTGTTTTCGAAGGTAACAAAATGAATTCTTGCACTATTCTTTGCATTGTTTGAAGAGGGAAGATTGTTGGGGAAAGGGAAGAAAAAGAACTGAGCAAGGCTGGGGGTGGGCAGGTGGGCAGGTTGGCCGCAGAGGCATCTGGGGGAAAATGTGGACTCTTCTTGCAAAAGGCTTGAGGTTTCTTCTATCTCACACACACCCACAACCTGTGAAGAGGCTGTGTCTGACCCAGAAGGCTGGTCTAAAATCTTGTACCCACCTATTCACTCATTCAACAGAATCTTTACCGGGGCTTACCAGGCACTGTCAGTGTAGAGCAGCTGTTCTCAAGGCTGCCACTCTGCTCAGTATTTTTTGAAAATGTAGTTATTTTTCATATAAATGTTATTTATATTAACATATAATAGGTCTATTATTGTTTTACAATTACATTTAAAAATTTCTTCATTTTAATTTCTAATAAGGTAAATATCTATAGATATGATCCACATAAACACAAGTTCTTTGGGGTCCTCAATAATTTTTAAGAGTGTTGGGGGTCCAAAGACTAAAAAGTTTGAGAACAACTGTTCTAGCCACAGATAAATGTTGTCTTGGCTCAAGTGGCTTTTATCTCAACCAGACTCTGGGAGAGAAACTTCAGTTGAGCTCACAAGTTGTTCCAAAATGTTAACCCCAACTATTCATCCATTGATTTGGCAGAACTTTATGAGCACCCACTGCATGCCAGGCACTACAAATGGGGAGTAAGGCTGAGAAGATATCAGCGCTCAAGGAGATGACATTGTGGTGGGGCAGACAGACCCCAGCACTGAGAAGTTCCAGAAAGAAAATAGATTAGGGTGATGTTGTAGGGAGCACCTCAGGGGCCACTTAAGCCAAGGTGGGGTTGGTCAGGACATGTCTTTGCGCAAGTGATAGAGCCTTGAATGACAAGGGTGCCAGGAACAGATTGAAGGAAGAGCCCTCCACATAGAGAGAAGGTTCTAGAGGCTAGGAACGTGTGTGGAAGGAGAAGGAGGCAGGGCCCAGATCTCGTCAGCCTTGTAGATCACAGTATTCATGAATTTCAGTTTTCTGTGATAAGAACCACTGGAGGGTTTGAAGTCGGGGAATGACATTTTATTTCTGTTTTATGGTCTAAAAAGACAAGCTTGGCTTCTGGCTAGAGGTGATTTGTAAGGGCAAGATGAGGAGGAGAAAGGCCAGTTAGGAGTAACTACAGTGGTCCCAGTGAGAGATGATAGTGGCTTGAACCAAGGTGGTAGCAGTGGGAAGACAAAAAGGGGAAATTCAGGAACGATTTGACTTAGGAATGGATATAATTTAATGGATTGAATGCGGGGGTCGTGGGAAGAGAAGGATCAAAGATGACTCTAAGTTTTTGGTTTGAGCAATTAGATAAATGGCAGGGCCCTTGACTGAGAAGGGAGGAAGGGGGAAGAATTAGGCTTGAGGGGGGAATCAAGTTGGACTTTGGGCAGGTTAAATGTTAATTCGGTTGCTTACTGGTCATCAAATAAACCTGTTAAGTAGCTTTTGCCATCCAGAATGGAGATATCTATACATGTGGAAGTCACCAGCACGTGTGGCTGGTATTCCAAAGCTCTGCAGCAGGGAGGGCCTATCTACGGAGACCGTGCTGATGGAGAAGGGATCCCAGCCGACAGCTCCGGGCACTCTCAACACTTAGCGGTCAGAGGGAGGGAAGCCAGCCAGGCCCTTCATGCTAGATCTATCCCCTTTGTGCGTGTGACTAGGGTAAGGGCTGTAGGTGGAGCTTCCAGACACCGAGGTCTTGGGAGAGAAAAATTGATTAGGAGATCCCATGTTATACGCATCTTAGTGGCAATTTTTTTTAAAAGCCTGACAATGCCAAATATTCCAGGATGTGGGAAAACAGGATTCCCCTAGTCTTAGCCTATTTTCTGTTGCTATAACAGAATAGCACAGACTGGGTAATTTATAAAGAACAGACATTTATTTGGCTCATGGTTCTGGAAGCTAGGAAGTTCAAGAGCATGGCTCTGGCATCTGGGAAGGGTCACCCCATGGCAGAAAGTGGGAAGTGGAACAGAGGGTGTGAGACAGAGAGAGGAAATTGGCTGAAATTCATCTTTTTCTCAGAAGGCCACTCCAAGAAACCAACTCCCCAGATAAGACCATTAATCCATTCAGGAGGGCTCCAGCCTTATGACCTAATAGCCTCTTAAAAGTTCCACCTCTTAACACTGTTACCATAGCAATTACATTTCAACATGAGTTTTGACAGGGACATTCAAACCATAGCACCTCTTATGCTCCTGGAGGAATATTATCCATAGAGCCACTTTGGAAAGCGATTTGGTGATATTTTGTGGGGCTAAAGATACACAAACCTCCATATGCATATGAAGTTTCAAGCCATGCAAAACTTTCCCAACACAAAGAAAAGATAAATGTTTGAGGTGATGGATATCCTAATTACCCTGATTTGATCATTACACATTGTATATGTATATCAAAATATCACATGTGCCCTCAAAAATGTACAACTGTGATGTATCAATTAAAAAAATACAAAAAACTCAATAATTTTTATATTGATTAC